GCCTAGGCGATTTTTTTTTTGCTGAATTAATTAAATTCAAGTTTAATTCCTTACATCTCTACGTACATATTTTCTGTTTTTTACCTCTTAAAAAAATCTAGGGTAGTAGGCAGTAACCGCCAACTAACAAAATACAGCAGCAATCTGAGCACCAAAAAATGGTCAACTAAGTGCAAATTAGCATAAAGATTGTTGATTATAATATAAATTCTCACCGGCAGCTTTCTTTTCTCCTTATATTGATTATTAATATATATGCTAATCAAAGTTATGGTCGCCAAATAAACGAAAGCAAATGTATATTTCAGTACCGTACAAAGTTGAAGTTTGCATTTCTCATCTGTCCAATTTTAATCTAATATCAGCTATAATTAATATATAACCAACTACATTTGTCTATTAAACAGGTGAGTATGTCTTAAATATATTATGATCATTAATTTCTATTTAGACTGATTAGTCATTAGCAATACTGGCCAGCTGATTAATTATTTTACAAATTATGAGAGTTTTAATAATCACAACCAAGTTTAATAAAATTAAGCTGAATTAAACTTGAATTTAACTAGTCCGGGGAAAAAATTGCCTAAGCATACTATCAAGCTCAAACTACAAAAAGTGGTCAAGTTTAGCTATCAACAGTGTTACGAAGTTAGTCATATGTAACGAACATCTTGTAACGGTGTCCTATTCTCTCAATGGCATTGAAGGGAACAAATTATCTATATGGATGGGAACCATGGAAATAAAGCTTGATCATACAACGGTAGTGGCAATCAGGGGATCAAAAATTCTAAATGAATGGCAACGAGGGAAACTCATAATTTTTTATGGCAACGAGGGAATTATTATAAATTTTAGTGGCAATGAATGAATTCTCTCTATGTTCATCCAACAAGCCTCTTAGGCCATACTAGGGTCCTAGCTTGAGGTAACCATCCCCATTGTAAGTATTCTCAACCTCAATCCTGCTCCAGTCTGATTTGAAGCACTACTGGTGGTTCTTATGCCCTTGGCATTTATCTTTATAGCGACGACCAAGTAGCACTAGTTAACATTAACCCTAAAATTTTCAAGGATAATAAGGGACGGGTTTGTACTTATTTTATATAGAAATGGACGTGATTATTTTTTACGAATATTCGTATTAAAATTTAGCGAGTACTACGAATTACGTGGCCCCGTTCGGCTGGCAGAATTTTGGCTGAAACTGGCTGAAAACATTGTTCTGGCCGAATCGTTGTGAGAGAAAAATACTCTTCCAGCTAAAAAAAATGCTAAATAAATCGAATATGGGGTAAGTCGAATGGGCCCATCCAATTTGCCACCCCATGCCAACCGGCGTGCCGCTGCCGGACCCGGACGACGACGCCACCTCGGCGTCCTGAAATTCCGTGCCATCCACTGTTCAGGAAGGACAGCTCGCGGGTCCCACGGCCACCGCCCAAGATCTGGCGCCACATCAGCGTTGCTGGCGGCTACGGCTCCCATGAAAGCGACTCCCGGATCTCTGCGGCAGCCGGCTCCATGGCCAACCCTGTTGCCTCGCCGTCTTGCCGATACCACGCTCACTCACGAAGGCACATGAACGAACGATCGCATGTATGGGAGGACTCCATGGCTGGCATGGCAGGTCGGATCCGTGGCCGGCGTGGCGACGATGGCGATGGGGCCCCTCCTGGTCAGCGTCACCGACGCCGATTCGCAGCGATTTGGCACCGAACTCGATCAGAGCCCAACAGGTCATGCTGGACGGTAGGTCTGGGCTCTGTCTATCCCGTGCTTTAAATCAGCCTATTTTTCGTTTCGGCACAGCAATGTTGACCGTCCGTGGAGTCCGTCGTCCTTCGTTTGCCTCCTGGTTGAGTAGTGCGTCGTTCCAAACTCTCCGTAGAAAGCTGTCTCTAGGCACATCGATTACCACATTGACACTCTGTTGTTACTCTACTTTGCTACTGCTAGGTGATAGCTGAAAGCCTGAAACTGAAACAGCTTACTGTGTAACTCTGCATCACTACTGCAATAATGGTCTCCATGAACAATGTGTGGGGGTTTCTGTCAAACGATGGCCAAAGCGAAGATGAACTTGCTGTCAACGTGGAGCACACAAAACGAAAGCTAGGGTAGCAGCCAACCCAGCGGATTGGGTGTGCTTGCTGGAGACTGCAGCGTCCATGTCACCTGGGACTGGCACGGGAAAAGGGAGGCCAGCAGCCCCAAGTGACACCGATGGATCGGACTCGGACGTGCGCCGGCGACGGTGGCTTTTGGGAAAAGGCGCGGAAAGTTTAGGCTGGCTGGCGGTGGCGACCCCCAGCTGTATAATTTTCAATTCAACAGGGGAGGCCGTGCCGCGCTCGATCCGACGCGATCCCTCCACCAGCCGGAATCATTGTTGTTGCCCAGCGAACGAAGCGGAGGCTGCCACTGCTGCTGGCCGGGAGGCTGCGCGGCCACATGCCATGCCAGCGCTTCACTTCACCCCAGACCCAGAGATGAGCTCCCGCCCCGTGGTGGCGTGTTAGTTAGCTAGCTAAAAAAAAAGTAACTAGTGTATATATGTATATCTCCTCGTAGTCGTAGCTGTGTGTTAATCTGATGATCTCTTTCATGGCGTGCATGGATACACGTAGGGTGGCCATGCAGCGATCACATTTATATATGTATTACCACAAGCTAAGCTTTGTTTATGAAGTTAACTAACTATTATGATGGGTTCAGCTCCCTCTATCTCTCTCTCTATCTCTATCTCAGTTAATACAGTTGCCGAGAGCTGTTCGCAAAGAATTTCTGAATATATTTACTGATGATAAAGCCGGTCCTCGGCTCGCAAAGATAAACTTTTGCTGGCCTTTGTTTTGTTCTTTGCCTTGGCTGAGACAAATATGGTTTTGCCGACGGCCACTTTGCGAGAGGGGTCGACTCAAGCAAACCTTTCTTTGCCGAGAGCCCGACATTTGGCTCTCTCGGCAATGATAAGGCTTCAAGCGAAGTGTAAGCTGTTCGGTGATGATAAGACGATGTTGGTGACTGATCTGCAACGTCTAAATCAAGCGAACAAGGCGAGTGACTGATCTGCAACGTTTAAATCCTAGTAGCTACTAGTAGTAATACACTACTAGGTGTCAATTGGCATCATTTTCGAGAGAAATCGTCATTAGCATCATTGCATCAGGATGCGATCTTGACATTCCCTTTGCGCATATCGTTCCGGCAGCCTAGCTACGCCATAGACGCATTCATTCATGCGTTTCTTTGTTTCTAAGCCAATAATCCTACATCACCAATATTCACCCGGCCGTCACCACACACAGTTTGTTTGCTTGTTTGTTTACACGTACGTACGACGCCGGCCTCCACTGATGATGAGGCTCATCAGACCTATTACGAACATGTCTCTAAGCTCTCTGGTTGGACACGGAAAAGTTGATGTACTACTTTGCAGCCATCCATCCATAAATTGACCCTAGCTGGAAATGCAAGCCAGGATCAGAGTAGCTAGTTCGATTGGGTGCCGTGGCACGCTATTACTCGATTGGTGGATGTATATATATATGTACACCATCGGAGCTAGCGAGCGAGCGCACATTCTTTAGCCGATGGATCGGATCGGATCGGATCGGATCACGTACGTTTGCATTGCTCTGTCTCCACGCCACCATGCATCCATCGTATCTCTCGGCCGTACAAATCAATTCTACCACTACAACTAGTTTATTTCTCTCGAACAATGCAACCAATGCAGGCTGCGTAGATCTGGAGGCCATCGATCCATGCATCAAATGAGTGCGAGCAATATACAAAACCGATCCAAGCACGTACGCATGCAGCTGCAGGGAGATCGATCTATGGCGATGGATCCAGGAGAACATCGTCTGAACATGCATGCATGTCGACTGTCGTCCGTCTTGCCAAGAAGGCTGGCACTGGGCTGGGAAGGCAGGCACACACACCGCACACGTACTGCAGCAGAACGACGCGACCCGTAGCAGGTTTTTTTTTTTTTTAAAAAGACCCGTAGCAGGTATTGACCGGCCGGATGCATGCACTGACGGCCGGCCGGCCGGTGACGAGCTAGCACGGTGGACACATCATCGTCCCTTATACAACTCAAAAGGCGTGCTCGCCGTCGTGGCCCTGCCAGCCAGCAGCCAGCTCAGGATCTCATCTGATCCCTAGCTTGTACGTTGGCCTCATCTTGACATCCGGATCGATCGACGTCCTAGCTAGCAGCTCATTAACAAGACCAATGCGAAGCCGAAAGAGAAACAGTGCACCCATGCAGCTAGCTGTACTAGCTAGGTAGCACCACCAGTGCCGCACTACTGCACAGCACAGTGCACACACTCGTCGTCGATCCATCTGGACTGGCTGGACATGTGCATCTTCCAGGCCACGCACGCATGGGCATGGGCTCGCTCGATCGCTGGATCATGGTGGCCATCTTTTGGAGAGATATATAGTCTCATCATCAATCAATCCATCAGAGCATGAGCATGCAACTTGCCCTGAATATAATGCACACGTACGATATGGGAATAATGACGTTGCATGTAGCCATGTGCTAGAGCTCTAAGATTCACACTCTTTTTTATATACTTCATCTGTCCCTCAAAAAACACTTTGAATCTGGACAGGACGTTTTCAAAGCTAGAATTACGTTCTGTCCAGGTTTAAACCTAGAATTACGTTATGTCTAGATTCAAAGTTAGAATTATATTTTTTTAGACGGAGGGAATATACCAAAGAATCAGTATACATGATGATGATATAGTACACATGGTTGGCTGGCTGGCTTGCCCTTTTACACGGAATGACCATTTTGGCCTTGCAGCGCCGGGCACTATATATACACCCCCTCTGGCCCTCTGCCTCAACACACCACCGCATCACAAAGACAGTCCATCACACTGGTAAGCTCTGCTTAGCTCGGAGCTTTTCAGTGCTTTGTTCAGTCCAGCTCGATCGGCAGTCACAACCACACCACCCCAGCTGCACCAATGGCCACCGCCGAGGTAATCACACCGCCTTCCGATCCCATGCATTTCTCTTCAATTCGATCGATCGCATGGTCAGTTTCATGCATCTGCATGCATGCTTGCACCATTATGCGTGAATGATGCAGTACGTGGTCGTACTGAGCGCACCATGGAAAATGCTCATCGTCGTTCCTTCCGTGTGTGCCAACGTACGTACGTGCAGGTCCAGGTCCCGACTGCCGCGCCCGTCGAGGAGGCTCCAGTGGTAGTGGAGGCTGTCCAGCCGGCTGCCGTCGTCGAGGAGACCCCGAAGGAGGAGGCCCCTGCTCCGGTTGTCCCAGAGACCCCGGCCGCCGAAGAGCCAGCTCCGGCGGTGGAGACCGAGATCGCTAAGGAGCAGGAGGCGGAGCCGGAGGCTGTCCCTGCCGGTACTGAGACCAAGGAGGTCGAGGCCGAGGCCGTGGCCGCGCCGGAAGAGGCGGAGACCAAGGAAGCAGAGGAGGAGGCGGCGGAGGCAGCAGAGACGGAGACTAAGGAGGCAGAGCCGGAGGCTGCTGCTGCCCCCATCGAGGCTGTCCCGGCCGAGACTGAGGCTGAGCCGGAGGTGGCGGCCGAGCCCGAGGCAGCAGCTCCGGCTGAGACCGAGACCGAGACCAAGGAGGCGGAGGTAGAGGCTGCGGCGGCCCCTGCTGAGGCCGAGACCAAGGAGGCGGAGCCAGCGGCGGCGGCCGAGGCCGAGGTGGCTGTGCCCGTGCCGGCTGAGGAGGCCAAGGAGGAGGAGGCAGCACCGGCTGTTGCCGCCGCTCCTGAAGCAGAAGTCGCGCCGGCGCAGGAGGAAGCGCTGGCTGCCGCAGCGGCCGAGGAGGCGGCGCCGGCAGAGGCGGCCCCTGCTCCCGAGGCGGCCGCCGCCGACAAATCCGACGAGTGAGTCCTGCGCGGCGGACGTCGGGACGCGCGGTCGATCTAGCTGCGTCAGCCTGTCACATGGCGTACGCGCGCCGAGCTGGTGGACTCGTCGTAGCTTTTTCGTGGACTCGTCGTCGCTGTTCGGCGAGTTCACGTCGTGTCGTACTTAGCTACGTGGCGCGGTGGGCCCCTCTAGTACCGGTTGTGTCACGTTGTGTTGTGTTGTGTTGTGTTGTGTTGTGTCGAATAATGTATCTGTGTGTTACTTCTGTGTCGGGTTAGTGGGCCCAGTGTCGGTGCTGATGTGGCCTGACTTTACAGCACATCGGTGGGGCCGGGGCCTTGGAGCTCTCTGCGTCGTTTAAATATGTTGGTTAATACGTGTACTGTACCATCTAGTATATGTGTTTTGAGTGTGTAGTATATCTGTGTTCCATCCATCTTTTGAAAACTTTTTTTTTGTCATGAGACAGATTTTTCTTAGTAACCGTCGTTATTTTACACATATTAGAGACGGTTTTTTCTTAAACCATCGCTACGGTGTACATACTTGAGGCGGCGGAACAACCGTCATTAATAGTATCCACGTCACAGGCGTAATTTTAGAGAGGCCTCGTTTTCCGTCACTAAACTACATCTTGAGCCATCACTAATTTGGTTCTCTGATCAAGGTTTTGAAGTTTGAACTTGTTACTAGCTACTCCCTCCATCCCAAATTGTAAGTCATTCCAAGAATCTTGGATTGTCAAAGTTTTTCAAGTTTGACCAAATTTATATAACAAAATAATAATATTTATCATACCAAGTAAGTATCATTAGATTCTTCATTAGTTATATTTTCATATTATACCTATTTGATGTCATCAATCTTTATGTTTCTCTCTATAATTTTAGTCAAACTTGAAAAAGTTTGACTCTCAAGATTTTTAGAATGACTTACAATTTGGGATGGAGGGAGTAATATATTACCATGCAGGTCATATTTGTGCTAAAATCTATGTAATTTTTGTGTAGGAATAGTAGCATGGTGGATATGAACCTACGACCTGCGGGGCTATGGAAAAGAGGCGGTTTTCATTCCCACCCATTGATGCATGCTGGGAACTCGAACTAGAGAAATTCAGTTTGTACTAAATGATTCCCACCAACTCTGCATTGTAGAAAAAACAACTATGTATCTGTAACATTCGCTCGTATCTAATTAAATTTCATCCATAGTTCTCGGAACTAGGTGTGGTTTTCTGTTGATAACGACTTTGGGGCCGGGTGGGTTTTATTGATGAGATTCGTGCAGATGGGTAAATGCTCCACTTGGTCCAACTCTTCCTGTTGCCATTCTGATGAGAGTCTAGCAACCTCGCTGCTTATTGTGGTTCCGAACCCGCGACTCATCCCTAACTTATGTGACAAACTTTTTGTTCATCACCTAATAATATAGTTTGGTTCCCATACTTGTTGGGTTTAAATCCTATGCTTGATACTCGTACTCATATACGATGAAGAAAAGATATCATTTGTTAAGTGCTAAGTAATAATTTTGCTTATTTTTTTTTTGAACGTGCTCGTAAAGATAGAGTGTACGTGCGTTCATGGATGTGGCAATGAGGATGGACGTACCGTATATGAACTTTGTGTCTCTTGTGTGTTTGCCAAAAAAAAAAAGGCCTGTGTGGTAAGCTGGGTGCTTTCTTGTGTTGTGTGTTAGTGTGAACCATTGTGGGCTCCACATGCCCTTCACCCTGAGCTCCTTTGGCATGATGGATGTGTGTGGTGTGATAAACCGGCCACAGAAATTGTGTATAGAGTCGTATGGATCAAAGTGTTAGCCCAATAGAGATCCGCTTGACAAGGGGCTCTTGTCCGGATCCATTTTAGGAACGGCCCATATGAAGTTTGGAGACCTGATCGGCCCATGGGATCATGATTACCAATCTTGATCCGCCACTATTCCTGCAGAGCTGCTGCACTAGTGAAAAGCCCAAGGGGTTGATTGTTGGCAGCCTGCGAGATGTCCGAGAAAAGGCGAGCGTGAGGAGGATTGCCGAATGCTGATGCAATGTTTTGGTTCTTGAATCGAAAGGATCTTTCCTGGAGCTGTAATTAATCGAGCCAGTGAAACAATCTTTCGTGGAAAATTGTTAAAATATCTTTGCCCTGAGCCTGAGGATCGCCTATAAGTCAATTTTTTTTTTTTATATATACTAGGTAGAGTGTCCGTGCGTTGCTACGGGATAGCTAAACTCGATAATAGAAACACATGGATCATACGATAAGTAACATTTAATTCAAAAGGCAAAGTTCGTGAAATTAACAGCCACGGAGAGCGCGACGTCGTAAGCTCACAAATTCTATTGTATAGAGCTTTCCATAATGCGTCCAAGATAATGTTTTATATCGGTAGGAAGAAATCTCCGATATCCATTTCTTTCGTGCGCCAATAAATCCATGAATAAGTTCCGTCGTATCTTCGTACCATCAAGTATACAGGTTCGAGTATATATGTAAATATTAGTGCCTGTTACATGGGTAGTACTACGTGTCTCGAAAAATCTCTCACAAAAAATCTCCATACCAAGGTTCGAGTATATATGTAAATATTAGCGTCGTATGGCGGCGGCACGTCCTCCCCACGTCGGACGGCGGCGCTAGGGTTGAGCGGCGCGGCCTTCCCACGTCGGACGGCGGCGGCAGTGGAGCTGGAGTCGAGCGGCGCGGCGTCACAGCATCGAACGGCGGTGGCGCTGTGACCTGGGAGCGATGCTTCAACTAATGTAGCGCCTAACGTTTAAGTAATAAGGTCTACCTAAGAAAATGTATGAAGTACATATTTCTAAAAATAAACCATCCTCCTCCATAATCGTACTTTTAAAACCCCCATTCTTACCTCATCTTTGCAATACTTGGCACAATCATGAATTTATAATCCATCTGACCAAAACTTAATTACACCCGCACAAATTGTTATTAGTACCCATTCATTGTATTATGCACCAAGCATCTTCAATGGTCTACGTTTTGCCAAGCATATAAGGGGCTGTATCAACCGATTTCTCACATCTAAAATCGTGATGAGTATCATCGGCCATGTATTGATAATGGAATGCATACTTGATGCTTGTAGGACAAGAGAAAGGAAATGCAAATTTCTCTGGACACGGAGCCATTTTTGTAGCATAGCATTACCATATAACCATCAGATTCAATAAGGTTAGGGAACACATGCCCTTCAAGGCTTAGTTTAGCTTATGCTATTATCCCAACTACTTACAAAAATAAATAGAGGACGAATTACATACAACCATTAGGTAAACATGCCAAGTAACCAAATAAATTTTGAGTCCTGTCTTCTCAACTTCCTACGTTGCTAGTACCAAGGACAGTTTCAAACTTTCAGTGTTGTATATGTTACCAGTGAGGTACTCCATCTTCCTGAAGCTCCTCGGCGTCAGTCCCCTGCTATGTCGCTAGAATGCTACTCAAGATGACCTGCTGCTCAACCTGGAAAAAGGAGAACATATCAACGAGACTGATCTACACATATCAGAAAGAACACATCTTTCTGATGAAGACAGTTGTCTAGCACAAGAAACAATTTTAATATTTCATATTTCCATGATTCCATCAAATCCTACAAGGGCATAAATTCCAACTAAGAAATGTACTGATTCTTTAGACTCAATAACAAGTGACATACCTTAGTTTTGTAAAACCAACAATTGGGATGGCAATTTCGTGAAGCCACTGTTTCAGCTAGCAAAAATCCAATTTTCTCCTTAAACAAAGCAGAGAGAAGGCTTGTTTGTCAAAATCAAACTTTAAACCAAGTTCCAAAATATAACTTACAGATAAATTAGTTTGCACCAAATCTAAGTATATAACTATAGCTACGGGAGCAGGTTTCTAATATCCGTCTTTTAATGAGTAATGATACCACGATGTCACCAACCCTGGAGAGTTCAAGATATGTTAACATATAACCATCACTCATGCAAAATATATATGGAAAAAATAAATCATACAGAAGTATGAACGATGTAGTTAATTAGATATCCAATTTATTGGTACTTACAAATCGGTGTCGTTTAGATCCTTGATTAATTTCCAAAGCCTTGTATCAAAATTTGATATGTCAGCTAGCTTAACTGCAATTGAGACACATTAATGTTAGCCATTTGCATAGAATAGAGTAGGGATAAGGGCATGTGAAAAACTAGATACTAATTGCAGTAAAGAAAAGCCAGATATTGAATCAGTAGAAGATATAAGAATCATAATATTAGTACATTCTTCTCGACGCTGTATAATCATAGAACATCTTCTTGGTGTTGTAATAAACCAGCAGTGACTATCTTGACTGAATTTAATAACTCAGCAGTGACTATCTTGACCGAATTTAATAAACCAGCATTATGAGTTTGATAGCTACTACTCCAAGGCCCTACAAATGGTATTATGTCAAAGAAAGTTAACCTTCAAAACTAACAAATATGCATTAAGGGGAGAACACAAAATCTCTCTAGTTAAAATTGGCAAAAAAATAGTTTGAGACACATGTATATACAGGCTTTAGAAACAGATTTTCTTTCACTTTGTTGGCAAACCAGTGCAGCTAATAAAAAAATAGATCTGCAATGTCCCTAGCTCCAACATGGTCTACATGGAAACAGTGCAGTTATGCTAACAACAACACCTAGTAAGTATGACCTGCCAGCGCATACAACCATAGGCAAACTCTGAGCGTGTCTAAACTTATCCAGTCTAGGGATTCAGCATGTATGAGATGCAAGAATTCAAGATAAAACTTATTCTTCTTTTTTTTGCAGTTTAGTAAGGTTCCATGTCGGCAGCTGGAAAATATGATCATAAGAGAAAAACCAAAGTAGCTAATTAAGCATTGACTCTGATGGCACTTGTGCACGTAGGCAATGAAGATGTTTGGTTTGTTGGGCACTGCATTGAAAACTGCAGTGGTCAATTATACAGGAATAAAACATTGAACAATGCAAGTGAATCGTTAAATGG